GATTTCCTGTCATAAAGGCCTTCTAATTTTTTTCATAAATCATGTGCTGAAGTTTCAGTAGCAACATGATGAAACACACTGTCATCAATCCATTGACAGATAACACCAATGGCTTTTCGATTAAGCCTCTTTCATTCATCATCTTGCATATCATCGAGTTTGCCACTGTCACCCTCAATAGGCCTATACAAATTTACAAAATAATAGGTCCGAACATTTTAGTTTTCCAAGTTACCCAATTGCTTCCATTGAAACTAGATATGCGACCCACATTCTCCTCCATTGATTTACACAAATAAATAAACCCAAATAAACCGTAAGCTTTGATACTAGTTGTTAGGAAAAATAGATGATTTCTCACAAGTAAATCAATCAATGAGAATAAAAACTAATGTAGAAAAATTAAATCAACAGCAACACAAGAATTTTTATGTGGTTCCCTCAATGTGAGGTACATCCACGGGATCGAAATCCGATTTCACTATCAACCAAGGAGTTTCTAAACGATTACAAACAAGACACGAATGGTCTCACAAACCACCCTTAGGTGAATTCTAAATAATCACAAATAAATAAGAGGAAAGATCTCACCAAATAGATGAACAAAAGTTTTCGAAATAGAGTTGAAGAAGACTCAAAATAATATCCCAAATCAACTTCACCAAAGCATCCAAATAAGCACACTAACAGTGCTTCAAAGAGCCAAACACAAATCAAAGAAATACTTCAAACATTGGCATGAAAAGTAGAGTAGCACTCTGACCCAAACTTTTCTTTGATTCCACCAAATTGATTTTCCAATCTATACAGCCGTAGTCCTCTCGGAAATATATATATATATATATATATTTTGTTGATTTTAGGGCTTTTATTCAACCCCTAACTGTTACCAAATAAATTATTAAATATCCATAGGACCTCCAAAAGTTAGATATAATATGTTAAAAATATATTATAACCAATACCAAATCAAACCAAATATTTTAATAAACTAATTGGGTCTCATACTCCAATAAAAAGGTTTACCCAACACAATGATAGTAATGCAAGTCTTACAAGGCCTCGTTTAACAAGTGGCTATTTTAGCCAAAAAGTCAAAAAGTTACTAAAAAAGTCAAAAAGCCAACAACTTATACCAAAAAGTGAAAGATTCACTTTTCTCTCTACTTTTTGCATATCTTTTAATAAAAAGTCAAAAAGTTATCCCAAGCATACTAATTTTTTTTACATCATATTTTAGTTAAAAAGTCAAAAAATTACTAAAAAAAATACTCCCAAACGAGGCCTAAATAGAAAAAGTTACAAACTCTTGAAATACACATATTAATACAAGTAACCACTATCTATCATAAATTATTATATAAATATTTAATATTAAAATAGCATGAGTGTATCTATGCACCTACAAGTCCCCACTAATTTTAATATTAAAAATAGGCACATAAATTATCAGGCAAAAAGGATATTATGTATCATGAAGGTATATTCTGCATTGAACCTCAACTAGTGAAATAGTGATCTCTACTCCAGAGTTAGTAGTGATCTCAGACTTGAACTATAACTATTTAGGGGAAATAAAGTAACTACTATCTACCCATAATAATCCAGGTGTTGACATAAGCTTTAATGGCTATGGCTAGCACGTTACAGCCTTGTGCTGATCTCAGTCATTTCATGACTGTATTTGAGAAATAAGCCTAGATCTCATAGAAAGCAACCCCACTTTCACTCTCGCATAGGTGAAATCCGTTAAAGGTGCTCTTGTAATTCTAACACCTCACTCATAAAGAGATACAGTTTCACAAAAAGTTTAAAAACTCAACCCTCCAAACATTACAGGATAAATGCACTCACACCATAGGGATAGACAAAAAATAAATAAATTTATTTAGTGCATTTCTTACAACCACCATATGATTTATTCTTCCCATTGAACCTTGTCACAAGATCTCTACTTCCTAGGTTGGATATCCTCATACATGGTTCTTGTATTTGTACTGGCTTAGTCTAATCCCTCTCGATGTAATATATTCAGACAATTTTTTAAAATAATTTTGCAAATTGATCACAAAATTAGTATCTTTTAAAGATAACATATTTAAGTACGCAATCACAAAAGTCCGGATCTACCATTATAAAACGATCACCTCTACCAAAAATTTAAGTGCTCTCACAATTATTCACAAATGTGAAATGGTTTCTCAAAAATTTAATTTCGTTGAAAAAAAAAAAATTAACCATTCACCTTGTCAATTGCTACAACTAGCAATAATTAAATATAGCACTATCTAAAATATAATTAGCAGTAGATAAAAATCACCTTGACAGAATATACCAATACAATATCACAAATTTAAAGTACAACCAGATACTTTCATAGCATAAACTATTTGATCCAAATAAAAATTCCATACCACTTCAAGATATGCCAAAAAAAATAATCTGGTTGGTTATAATTCTGCAAAATACTCAATTCTCCACAACAAAAGTCATGCTAAATATATATATATAGAGCAAAAGCTATCACAAAAACTTGAAAACCTCCACTAATCCAAAAAGCATATAGCCTTTTTAAAATTCCGATAGCTTAAAAGTCATTGAATTTCATATAAAATTCATGAGCCGAAAAATCGAATACTTTAACTAAATAGCCCATAAATCTGAATTTCAAAAGTCTCAATTTCGTTATTCGAAAAACCTACAAGAAATTCATGACTTAAAATTGATTTCTCACGAGGCTATATAATTATGAATCATTGTTGAAAATATTTTTTGATCAGGAGAGAAATAATTTTTAAATTTAAAAATAACAATTAATTTCCCCCACTATTTTCAAATTTAAAAATAGTTTTTTCACAACATCATCTGATTTCAAAATAAAAATAAAAAAATTGTTGCATTCCATAACTTACACATCTCATACCCACAATTCTATTTGAAGCCAAATTTTTATTGAGTAAAAACTCAAACTCAAATAAATTCTTTTGGATGGAGCTTGTAAATGTTTTGAAAAATATATCCCATATAGGGGTGAAATCGGTTCGGTTTGGTACGGTCGGTTTTTTCACTAGTTTTGCACAAAACCGATCATTTCGGTTTTTCATATTTGTGAACCGAACCGTCCAGAAAAATGACATAAACTGGTGTGGTTCGGTTTATTACGGTGCGGTGTGATTTTTTCGATTTTTTAATTTTTTGGCCTTTTTTTCCCAGTTGGGCCTCACATTTTGGGCCTGTATTTCCATCCATTTTGCATAAAATTTGGGCTTAGGCCATGTAATTCCTACATAGGTTTGGGGCCTCACATTTTGGGCCTATTAATATTATATAAGTGGGTTCGGTTCGGTGCAGCTCGGTTCAAAAAACCAAAAACCGTAAACCGAACCGAACGATTGAAAACTTAAAATACCGACTGAAAACCGTTCGGTTCGGTCAGTTCGGTTGGTCCTTCTGGTTATTCTTTCACCCCTAATCCCATCTAGAGATTCATATCAATTTAACCTCACAATACCCAACAAATTTTGATAACATCAAAAGTCACCAAGTATAAAAGTGTTCTCAAATTTTATAGGAGTATAATATTTTAAACCAATTTTAATGTAGCAAATATGCTTAAAACCATCAATTTCCACATGCCACCCTTCTAATAAATGTCTAAAAATTATAGTCTTAAAAAGACTCATCGGTAACGTTAATCTTGATAAAAGACTCACGCTTTCAATATTTACAAATTCGAGTAATATGTCTACTCTTGCCACAAATAATATATGGAAGTTATTGGTTCTATAACTCGTTTAACTCGAGTTTCCCTTATTGTGATACTTATCACAAAACAATTCTCAAATTTTTATGGCTTTAATAGATCAAAAATAATTTTTGGGTAAATGAGATAAATACAAAAATAAATTCATACCTTAGAGTTAGTGATGGATACCTCCATATATTTGGAAGCAAATGATCACAAATTCTCTCATGCTTCGTTGGAAAGGCTAGCTGAAATCTTCATTATTTAATCTCATGTGGCCAGTACTCTATCATCTACCAAGAACCACTTTTTATTTCTCCATTTTTTTTTTTTTGGAGGGGGGTTCCTAATGGTTTTGACTCCATCTTTACCAAAATAAATAAAGAATTAAAGAGTCCAAATAAATATGGACAAGAATCATCACCATAGGAAGACACTAGATTTACATGATTTGAAAATTTTGCCTATAACCACAAATATTGCCCCTTGTCCACTATATTAAATATGTATTACATGTCATATCTCTAGATATATGGAAATACAATAAATCGGACTGAGGCGCGATAATCTTGCTATCTTTAAGAAGATTCAAGCCATTCTCGGTTGGTAAAACTACTAATCGATATAGTAGAATATCACGTATTAACCTGCCTCTCCCAGGATACAACAATCCGAGTTTTAGTCGTGTTGACTCAATCAATCCTGCACAAGTAGGTGAGTTCAAAGCTCCACCATAAAAACACCTTTATAAATTGCCTAACCGTTTCTGTATAAATACAATATAAAATATATATATAGATATATGCACACTCATATTCTTTATGTACACTTCCTTGTATATATACACATCTACCAAAACATGAAGAGTCATAGTTAATACAATAATGAATCAATTATAAATCACCATCATTATTGGACAATTCAATACTGTGAGGCCATGTTTGTTTGGGCGGACTGGATTAACATTTCCATGACTAATAGTCCTAAGATTACGAATCCGTTGGATTATGTATCCTATCTTAACTAATAGTCAAGTTTAAAATAATTAATCCGTACTTCAATTGTTTAACCAAACATCGGATTGATAATTTTATTGGACTATTAGTCCAATCCCAAGCTCATATCCACCCAAACAAACATGACCTGAATGTATGTAACTCGTAGTTTTAATTCACATGTAGTAGCTGATGCGTTGTGTGCACAATGACCATGATGTATGGACAACTCAACCAACATGTATGTTACACTCTCAAGCTTCCAATGATAATAATGCATGTCTTAATAAAAAGAGTTCCAAACTCTTGAAACACATATTAATACAAGTAACCACCATCTATCATAAATTAAATAAATTATTATATAAAATATTTAATATTAAAATAAATGAGTACATCTATGCACCACCACAATTTTACAAATAAGATACTACTGGGTAAAAATTCAATGGCGATGGCTTATATAGCCAGTATCGGCCTGAATTATTTAGTATTCTATTTGCTGATTGGAGTGTCGGTGATAGAAAGACTTCACCCTCCCGAAAGCTTCTTCAAGTGAAGATGGTTCAACCGCGAAAGTGATGCGAATCCAATCTTTCATACCCACAGCAAGTCCTGCCAAAATATATATAAAAAAAAAAATTTCAATTTCTGAAGTCAAAAGCAAAACCCAAACCCTTCCCAACATCTTGATTATCACTTGGTCTATTTGGTCTGGTTCTGTTGTGCATAACTATAAGGAGTGTAACCTAAGAAGCACAAACATAGATATGTTGACACGAAAATTTTCAAATTATGCAGAACACAACATATGAGGTAACACGCTACAATATTTTTTCTTTTATTATTGGATTTCAAATGTAAACTTGTAATATGTTTATGTGTGTCAAAGCGATGAACACGTGTGTATTCCAAGTGTCCAAAGTGTGTCCGGATTTTTAAAAAATTTAAAAATCATAGAACAAGTTTGGATGTCCACGTGTCAAGAAGAGTCCAACGAGTGCCAATGTCAAACACAAACACATCATTTCCTTAGAAGTATATGTGCTTCTTAGAGTATAACATATACAGGGCAAATTAATGGACATCCATAGTTCTAATTAGGCGATCGATTGATGATTCGTATCTCACCTGGAAGAATGATCACAGATTCCTCCTTGGCCAGTTTGAAGCAAAAGTCAATGTCATCGCTAATGTCTTTGAGGAGGGAAACATTCAGTTTCATCTACATCATGCAATAATAAATAAGTACATAAATAGGACTTCGAGGACTGCAGTTTACTTCCACATTGCAGAGAACCGAAAAATTCTATGAATTCCTTACCATAACAGCCATGGATCCCACTGGTTTATATGGGCATGAAATGCAAGGAATCTCCTTTATTCTTTCACAACAAATATCAGAGGTCTGCTTTAGTATATTAATGGTCTTTGTAAAGAATACGTCTTCAGTTTGCTGAAGAATGCGCGGGACTGCTGCCTAGAACCATGGAAAATATGTTAAGAAAGAGAAATGAGTGATTTAAGTCGATGGTCTTTTGAAATGAACAAAATTTGGTAGTGAAATTCACACTTTTCCAGATGAAGTCAGAACTTCAGACATTTTAAGGTCAAGCATCCATGCTTTTGTGGGGAGAAAGAAAAAGGGAAGGGAAAAGCGAATGAAATTTAGCCAAGGGTTGTAAAGGGAAGGGAAAAGTGGGATTTGTATATGGAAAGGGAAAAGTCAATGAATAACTTAGCTTCTACTTCATCTACTTCTCCCTTCCCTTTTCCTTAGCATTCAAATCCCTCCACAAATCCAAGATCCAAACACAGATTCATGGTCTCATTGACATTGATTTAGGAAAGTGGATATATTTTTTTTTTCTTTTCCTTTTCCATTCTTTTGGGAAGGGTTAGAAAATGGCCGCAAGTTATAATTTTTAACTTGACCAATCTAGGAAAAGCATCAACCGAATGCAAAAAATTATTTCATTTAAGAAAACAGAACAAATCCTGACTTCAATGTTTCAAAACAAGCACCCAAGGAATAAGGTACTAAACTGTATAAAGGAATAAGGTACTAACCTGTATAAATGTTGAAGGACCCCCAAGAATATCAAAATACTTCTTAAGCCGCTCAACAATCTGTTTAAAGGAAAAATAAATCATTAGCATTGGGGCAAGTAAATTTGGTGACAAAAATCAACTTTTTTTTAGCCATGACATCATCCACAAGAACTTTAATGTTTGGTTAATAAAAAAATAAATTTGTGCCCGCATGAAATAAAAATGTTTAAAGTGAGTACACCATAAAAAACCAAATACAATGAAAACAAATCCATGTCTGAATGATAATTATCAACCAGATGTGACAAAAGCATCGTCGGGTGATAACTTGTAAGGGAGATCATGTGACAAATATTCGGCAATTGCCCTGTTTAAAGAAAAAACAAACAAAATGAACGTAAAAAAATCCCATTTTCAAATACCAATTCCACCATTCCAAACAACTTGTTAATGAATGCAAACATTCAGTTTCATCTACATCATGCAATAATAAATAAGTACATAAATAGGACTTCGAGGACTGCAGTTTACTTCCACATTGCAGAGAACCGAAAAATTCTATGAATTCCTTACCATAACAGCCATGGATCCCACTGGTTTATATGGGCATGAAATGCAAGGAATCTCCTTTATTCTTTCACAACAAATATCAGAGGTCTGCTTTAGTATATTAATGGTCTTTGTAAAGAATACGTCTTCAGTTTGCTGAAGAATGCGCGGGACTGCTGCCTAGAACCACGGAAAATATTGTTAAGAAAGAGAAATGAGTGATTTAAGTCGATGGTCTTTTGAAATGAACAAAATTTGGTAGTGAAATTCACACTTTTCCGGATGAAGTCAGAACTTCAGACGTTTTAAGGTCAAGCATCCATGCTTTTGTGGGGAGAAAGAAAAAGGGAAGGGAAAAGCGAATGAAATTTAGCCAAGGGATTTGTAAAGGGAAGGGAAAAGTTGGATTTGTATATGGAAAGGGAAAAGTCAATGAATAACTTAGCTTCTACTTCATCTACTTCTCCCTTCCCTTTTCCTTAGCATTCAAATCCCTCCAAAAATCCAAGATCCAAACACAAATTCATGAGCAAGGATCCTCTAGAGTTTTTTTTTCTTAAAGTTTCTTAGAGTGGTGCATTATGTGGTTGAGATTTAATGATAAGTCACATCAATTTTTCAACATTAAATCTCAATCACACAATACACCACTTTAGGAAACTTTAGGAAAACAACATTCTAGAGGATCCTTGGTGCAGATTCATGGTCTCATTGACATTGATTTAGGAAAGTGGATTTATTTTTTTTTTCTTTTCCTTTTCCATTCTTTTGGGAAGGGTTAGAAAATGGCCACAAGTTACAATTTTTAACTTGACCAATCTAGGAAATGCATCAACCAAATGCATAAATTATTTCATTTAAGAAAACAGAACAAATCCTGACTTCAATGTTTCAAAACAAGCACCCAAGGAATAAGGTACTAAACTGTATAAAGGAATAAGGTACTAACCTGTATAAATGTTGAAGGACCCCCAAGAATATCAAAATACTTCTTAAGCCGCTCAACAATCTGTTTAAAGGAAAAATAAATCATTAGCATTGGGGCAAGTAAATTTGGTGACAAAAATCAACTTTTTTTTAGCCATGACATCATCCACAAGAACTTTAATGTTTGGTTAATAAAAAAATAAATTTGTGCCCGCATGAAATAAAAATGTTTAAAGTGAGTACACCATAAAAAACCAAATACAATGAAAACAAATCCATGTCTGAATGATAATTATTAAAACAAATCATCTTGCATTTACTTTCAACACATTGATCGACAACATAATTCAATACCGAGAATGGTAACCAACATTATCAGAAGAGAAAGTACACAGAGCAAACCTTTGGGTTTCTGAAGATGTCATTTGGATCATTTATCACAAACCAACCAAGTCGCCAACCGGGGACTATCCATCGCTTTGATAAAGAGCCAAGCGTGAGAACTGGAACAACTGAACCAAAAACTCCCATCGGCACAAAAGGATTAGCCCCAAAAGCAAGGTGGCCATAAACTTCATCAGCAATTACAGGAATTTTCAGCCTTTTAGCAGTTTCAGCAATCTAATTGCAATAAATCAGTTAATAGAAAACCCAATGCTTATTGTAACCATAAAACCAATTATGAAGTGAAGAATACCTTCTTCAAATGTGGATAAGTATAGACATTGCCACATGGATTACAAGAATTTTCAGCCTTTTTGCAGTTTCAGCAATCTAATTGCAATAAATCAGTTAATAGAAAACCCAATGCTTATAGTAACCATAAAACCAATTATGAAGTGAAGAATACCTTCTTCAAATGTTGATAAGTATAGACATTGCCACATGGATTCCCAGGATTTATGATTACCATTGCAGCAGTGTTATGGTCTGCAAGAGCTTCGACAGCATCAAGATCAACTTCCCAACCCTTTTCGGAAAGAAGATCAAAATGCCGAACTTCAAGATGTCTAAAAGCAGCACAAAGTTCGTAGATTGGGAACCCTGGCCTTGGAAGCAAAATATTCACTCCCGGGCGAGCTAACATTGACAATGCTACATCAATAGCTTGAGTGCAACCAGATGTGACAAAAGCATCGTCGGGTGATAACTTGTAAGGGAGATCACGTGACAAATATTCAGCAATTGCCCTGTTTAAAGAAAAAACAAACAAAATGAAGATAAAAAAATTCCATTTTCAAATACCAATTCCACCATTCCAAACAACTTGTTAATGAATGCAAGCTAGTTTCATGTATTTTAATACCCAAGTCAGCTTCTTCTATAGAAAAAAAGTAATTTGAAATTTACTAAATAACTAAGGACTCTAGAATTATGTGAAACATATGTTATGATGCATGAAGAATATATCAAGGTCTGAGTCTAGAAGAGTCTTATGTTAAGTATAATTAATGAAGAAAGCCACCATGAGAGAGCAGAAATGAAAAGCTTAACAAGGATTATTGTAAGAAAAAATTCAGTCACAATACAAAATTTTCCAACAGTAATACAGAACAAGCCCAAAATTTCAAACATCTTCTGTCTCTTTCCTTACGGACCACATTTCAGCAGATTGATTTTTTTGGGTGGAGGAAAGAGCTTTCTCCTTTCCTTTCCCTTTTCTCCTCCTTAATCTTTTCTATCATATGGAGGAAACCTTCCCTTCCCTTTCTATCACAAGGCTAGATTAAGAAATCCCAGTCTAGCAATTCAACAGCAAGTATTAGAGAGAGGGGAATAGCATATATTCTAATCTGTATTTTTATCCTAGCAACTACTACACCAAGCAATTACGGCATGAGATCTCCTGTCTCAAAATACTCACAACTATTGCTACTCAAAGCAATTAAGGCATAAGATCCGCTGCCCTCTTGTCTCAAAATACTCACAACAACTGAATCATGTCTCAAGGTTCTCGTAACTTGAGATTTTCATGACTCAACAGTTGTGAGTATTTTGAAACAAATATGCAAGGAAATTTGGGGAGAAAGAATCCTTGACACAATTAAGAACATACTAAACAAACCAGTTTACTACTGTTATTGGGTTAGTCAAAAAATCAGAAAATTAATCCATTGTTTAGATTTTGGATTTGAGTAGGTATTTATGGAGGGACAAAAAATGAAATGCGTGTTTGAATTTTAGATTTGAGCAAGTATTTATAGAGGGAAAGAAAAATGAACAGAAAAAAGCACAAAAATTTTGCTTCTTTTTTTGCCACTTTTTCATTCTCTGTAAGTTCAGAATCTAAACACGGAAGAAAAACTAAAGTAAACAACAAAACAGAGCATGGAACCCCCAATTGAAGCTGAGAGCGAGAGGAAGGCAATACCCAAATTAGTACTCCTAAATAACTTTCAAATCCAACTACAAAAAATTAGAAATGTAAAAATCAAGTTCAAGACTAACTGACAAACAACAAAAAAAAAACCCCAAAATTTGCTACTTTATCAATCTCTTTTTCATTTTTCTGCCACAAATTTCTTTTCAAAATTCAAAGACAGTCTAAAAACTAAAGCTAACAAAAAACAGAGTGTGCAATCCCCAATTGAAGCTAAGAGCGAGAGAAAGGCAAAACCCAAATTAGTTCTAGTAAATCACTTACAAATCTAACTATAAAAACATCAAACATGTAAAAATCTAGTTCAAGGCTAAAACAAACAACAATTTCAAATTAAAGTAGGTTCTAGTCTGAGGAAGTCCTGCATACACAAAAATAATCAGAAAACAGAGCATGCAGCCCCCAAATGAAGTTGAGAACGAAAGAAGGGAAAAACCCAAATTAGGTTTCCAAAACTACGAAAACATCAAAACCCAGTTCAAAATTAAGACAAACAACAACGAATTTCACAAAAAAATTATTATAGAACAAGCAATATAATTTATAAAAATGGTTAAAAATTACGTTCTGGTTTGAGGAAGACCGACTGTGGGAGAGTAGCCATTGAACTTCTCAGAGCGAAGAGAATCGACCACAGCTTCTTCAGCAACAACAGTGGTGTGGAAGCAAGAGTAGGCAGATGGGTCTCCCATACCCAGAGAAATAATTCGCCTCTCGTCGTTGGAATCGATGTTGGCCATCAACAGACCCAGAATGCCTTTGATTGTGATGTTCGTCGGCGTTTCGAATTGTTGGCTACTTCCATTATTCAATTTCTTCCCTCCATTTTCCATTTCTCTGTCTCTGTATCTCACTGTTCCGTGTAGTTCTGGTATGGTATGGTCTGGTATAGGAAGAGAGATAGTGTAAATTATTTACTATAAATAATAAGTAGAAGAAGTTGAGTACGGGATAGAAAGAGCGTCCACTCTTCCGAGTTTACAGGTACTCCTGCACTCTGCATGGCAACAAAACAGTGATGTGTTTCCATTTTGAATAATTCTTGGTAATCACCCTTAATTTTTCCGAATTCTATGATTGTCATTATATTTGTATGGTGTGTTTCTATTTTGAATAATTCTAGGCACCCATCTTTGTGTGGTTGTTATTGAATTTTTGTGATATGGGATTCAGAATAAATCATAGCCTAGGATGAAGGTTTTGTGTAATTTTTGATTTGATGGAGGTGGATTTGTAATATTACATTTTCATTTTACAACAATGATAGAGACCACTAATTTTGGAGCTCTAAAAAGATCACTAATGACATGGCACTCAATTAAAAAATAAAAAAAATACAACACCAAGGTCAAAACATTAAATCATTCATGGTGAAGTCCACTGTCACATCATTAGTGTTAGCACTAATTAGTGCTCTCACTTATTTTCCTTCATTTTATGTGTTCGGTTTATGAGTAAGGAAGGGATTTTAAAAGAAAATGAAAAACGTCTTCAAATAATAACATTATGAACCTACTTTTATCAATCTATAAATTATTCAGAATTTTATCTTCTGATTTAAGTTTATTCTATGTATAAATCTTATACTACATAAATTAATCTCCACTATATAATCACTTACCCATAATGTTCTAGGTGAATTAATCTGGATATTGTATGTGAAATGTACATATATTTTACTTATCTTTTTCTTTTTCTTTCTCTTTTTAAATTTTTTCCCAAATTGATGAACCAAATACGATGTTAATTTTTTTTACAAGTAACGACGAGGAATTTGCTATTTTAATTTATTTAATTTTTAGATGGATTGCTATTTTAGTTAGATTATTTTTGGTTCATAAATTTGAAAAATGATTTAAAAGATAATGAAAAGGTGTGTGAAATGTAACCTACCTTGTTTAGATTTTTTGTAAAGAACTATGTAGAAAGTAAGGAAAATGATGTAATAATTTATTATTATTTTTTTGTCAAAACGAAACCAAAGTGGTTTTTTCCCAAAACAACTACATATTGGTAAAAAAATTATGATTTTAATTATTAAATTTTATTATAAATCTGTAATAATTTTTCAAAATGCAACTAATTTGATATTTTTCCTTAATTTAGATATGAATGACTTTCATTCATGTATAGCAATATTACAAATAAAGAAAAAATATTTAAAAAATACGTTTATGAATTACAATAATTGTAATGGGACCTACATCATAGTAATTTTAAACCTACACGTTACAACTCAATTCTAAGTAAATTTTGAGGGAATTTTTTTTTAAAGGTTATGGTGTTTTTACTCATATAATTATGATAAGTGAGATGATAAACTCAACATAATATGTAAAATATGGTCATTGAAAACAAAATATATTACAGATTTAGAAACATTTTTCTCATATAAATCTGTGATGGAGTTCATATTTTAATTGAGAAGACAAATACTAAGATAAATTGTTGGATAAAGTTGGCTTAAAACACAAAAGTTAATTGGATTTAAAAAAAATATTAATATTGAAAAACTGTCTTTAACAGTTAAATTTCTAAAATTTTTAATTGATACGAAATATAAAAAAAGCAATTGTTAATTAAACATATGTAATAACAAAATGTTTTCTTAAATATTTTTATGAAATAAAGGAGATTTTAATTAATTGTAATAAATTTATTGAAAAAAAATTGAGAAAATCTTAAATGGTATGTATTATTTTTAGAAGGAAAGTTGAAAATATTTTCAACACTATAACTTAAAATGTAAATTTTTAAAAATTGAGAGCAGGCATATGTCATTATTGACTACAAATTTGGTGACACTTTTGTTGTGTTGAACTTAAAAAGTATGAATTAAATTATTTAAATTGAAATAATAAAAATTAAAAATAAAATTTAGATAAAATTATAAAGATAAAAAAATATATAAAACTAAAAAATTTTGGAAACCAAATTGTGGATAGACAGAGAAAATTGTAGAGGTAGAGAGAGAAAATCATGAGAAAGGGACAGACGAGATCCATGTGAAATGGTTACATAGGATGCACGCAATACAAGATGCAAGCAATCTGAGAGGAAGATGGTCCGGAAAAATTACTCCCTCCGTCCCAAAATAATGGTCCTTTTGGAGAATCCAACTTTTTTTGGTAGTACAATTATTGCATTTGAAAAAAGTTGATTTTCCAAAATTATCCTTTTGATAGTACATTTTTTGAGAATATCAATGCATAATTGTACTTTTTATGTTGTTTATTAATTTAAAAGAAGGGTAAAATAGGAAATTTATATTATTTTTGTACTTAATTTTTGAAGAGGGACTAATATTTTGGGACAATGAAAAATGGAATAAGGGACTAATATTTTGGGACGGAGGGAATATTGATTTGTTAGAAGGTGTTATTATATATTTTTTTAAAAATATTTGATAGTTTAAATTTATATAGTTTAAATAATTTGAAAATATGATTTTATTTCTAGCATGACGTCATTTTCATACATTCAAACCATTCGAACTATGAATTTTTAAACTATCAAACATTATTGATTTTTTTATTTTTTTGTTAATCATCTTTTAATAGCAATTTTTAAATATCATTTTTTCTATTAATTACAATATCATTGAGACACTATCGCTATCTAAAATCAACCAATCACTAGCGGTGTTTGAGAAGGAGGCTAGAAGGCTATTTTAGCCTCATTTTAAACAAATAGCTAAAAAATTATATTGTAGCTGAGTTTGTGTCTTTTTTTTTTTTTTTTTGGCATAAGTGTATGACTGTGCTACGGGGCATATTTGAAATTATGATTTTGCCCTTTTCCTTTTTAATTAATCCACCAACTTATCATTTCAACTCACTGGGGCACTTTAGTTAATTCATATCCCAACATAATCATAATTCAAGTCAGGCACAGCTCCATCACGCCATGTACGATTTTTGGGGAATAATTTAATTATTTTTTATTTATACATCATTTCAAATACATTTTTTAATACAATAACTCAAATAAAAATCCAACTCAACTTTTCAAACATAAAAATTAAAATAACCTACTAAAATAACAAAAAAAATAAAAAAAAACTTCTAAAATAGTCAATTTCCAAATACCCACGGTCTGTTCAAATTTGTTTTTACTTTGGGTGTGGTTGGCACCTCTCCACGCGCCTTATGCAAAAGCGTCATAACTTTTATTTTTCTTTTCTGTTTTTTTTCTTTTTCTTTTATGATAAAATAAATTCCATGAAATTATTTTATTAGGAATACAAAAAAAAATTATTAAATTTTCAACTAAATACGCATATAAGTGTGAGATTCATATATATATATATATATATATATAAGATTGATTAGAATGTTATAAAAAAGTGTACTTTTTGACTTATTGACTTATATGGGTTGGGTTTGATGTGATGTGTTAGAGAGGTGATATGATTTAAATAAGATGATGTGACTTAAATAGGATAGTGACTTTTTAACTTTTTGTATTATTTAGTAGATGTCAAACTTGACCTTAATAAAAATTTTAAGATGTCTAACATTTTCTATCAACTAATAGTGTCTATGTTGTTTTAGATATAACTTATAAATTGATTTTTTTACTTATTATAAAAAGACGTACAAAAAATAGAGAAATGATGGGTGTGTTTGATTTGTATTTTAACATAAATTTATAAATTTTTTTAGTTTGTTTGGTTGTATATTTTGAAAATAATTTTACAGTTTGGGAGTTTGAGATGATTTGATATTTTATTTTAGTTGAGTAGATATTTGTGATAAGAAAAGTGATTGAGAAAGAAAGAGAAAAAGTGATTGATTGATGTGCAGGAGATATAAAGTGATTTAAAAAAAAAAAATTAAAAAATTTGAACCAAACAAAAATTTAAAATTTTTTTCAAAAACTGTATTTTGAGATACAAATCAAACTAGTCCGATGTGACTCAAATAAGTCAAAACAGTTCATTATGGTTGACAAATATCGTTTTAGTGAGTTTTTTTTTATTTATTTTCAATTTTTCAAAATCTTAGTAGTATTCTAGAGGCTTCGTTTGAGAAGTGAGTTGGCTTTTTCACTTTTTGACTATTTTAACTTGGGGCTAAAAAGCCTGATTTGGGAAGGACTTTTGGTTTTTTTGATTTTTTTGTGAGAAAAAGAATATAATGATTTTGGGTTAGATAAAAAATCTACTTTATTTTTTGTGGATATTTTAGCCAAAAAAAAAGCTACAAAACCTTCTTCCCAAACATAGGCAGAACAACTTAAATAATAATATAAAAAAATCAATGGTACGTACTTTTGAATTAAAAAAATTAATTAATTAAATACTATTAATCAAAGGACTTTTCTTAAATGTGCAACTTACACCTTTTGTGTTTGCTGTCCTGTTTGATGTTTACACCTTTCACTTACGCCTTTTGTGTTGGTTGCATATGGTGTGCAACCTTAAAGGGTTGCACACCATAACAGGACCCTTAATCAAAAATCTTACTTTTTTCAAGTACAATATGATTTTAAATAATATTACATGAATTATTAACAAAATTTTCCATTATTTTTCAACATCATGAGAATTGAAGAAATCTTTAAAAAAATTCGCTACGTGTACACAAGAGGCGCACAAAATTATTTTATTTTTGTATTTTTATATACATAAGAGGAGAGATGAGAATAACAAACGGACAATCTTTTATAGGTACATCAATTGTCGCAACTAAGTTAATCTCATAATAGTTTTTCTATGTTCGTTTGTTTTGATTAGTTTTTAATTTTTTTTTTTTTTTGGCATGAGAAAGTCTTATATTGAAGTCATACGCCAAATAACAATGTTAGGAACACATAACATAAATACAGAATACACATTTACAAGATTTATTAATAAAAGTTACTTTTTAAAATTTATTTTCT